TCCCCTTTTGGTGGATTGATGCCCCGTTCTGATTGGTTGTTGCCCAAGCCGCACCAGTACCATAAATATCCTGATTCATAAATATCACTCCTGCCTAGCTTATAACATCACTGTGAAAAATGAGCGAAACAGTACAAGGAAAGTGCTCAGCTTTGTCCAATTTCTGTTGGTATTTGTAATGGGTTGTCTTGTGTCCCCTAATTGTTGTGGGTTGAAATCCTAACCCCCAGTACCTAAGAATGTAGTGCCTTCTACAAAGGGGCTCATAACAGATATGATAGCCATGTTTGGATGAGGCCATACTGGAGTAGGCAGGGCACCTAATCCAGTATGCCTGGCATACCTATAAGAAGAGGCTACATGAAGACTCGGGGAGAACATGCGATTTTAGAGGTAAGGGTTATGGCAATCCATCTTCAAGGTTAGGGATGCCAAGGATTGCCAGCCATCTCTAAAAAACCACAAGAGGAGCATGGAATAGATTATCCCTCAGAGACTTCAAAAAACATCCAATCTGGCAAATACCTTGATCTGGGTCTTTTAGCCTCCCAAACTGTGAAAGAATGGTGCTGTTGTTTAAGCCACTTACTGTGGTTGTTTGTTATGGAAGTCCTAGGAAACTAAGATAGTATTATACTGGGTATGTTCTTAAAAGTCCATTGACACCATGAATTCATAAAGTACCAGGGAAGAGGAGACCTTAACATGCATTTTCATCCCATTTAGTCTCCTTTGATGCTGGAAAAAACCCTTTTCAGCATTCTCAGTAAGCTGTGCTGACTTGTGCCTGAATACCTCCAGTGAGCAGAACTCACTACCTGCAATGACAACCAGTACCCCTCACTACTAGAGAAGCTATTCTTTATATTGGGCCAAAATTTCTTTTCTTGCAGATCCTCCCATCTGGTGGAAACTTCCTCCCTGGGACCTTATACCACATAAAACGCCAACCCTTTAGCATTCGACAGCCATTCAAATCCACACTCGTTGAAATACAATTTCTTTTTTCTACAATGAAATTTTCCTTTCTCAGTCTAAAAAGTAATCTACTAAGATCTATTTCAGTTTTATCTCCTGGTCATATATGTTATGCTCTGAGAAAAAACAATCCCAAAGTCTGTTCTTCAAAAACCAAAGGATTCTCTCACACACTGCACAACCACTGTGACTCAGCAGAGCAACTCTGTACCCTGTAGTCACTCAGGGATCCAGACCAACCAGGCAGCCACCATCTTGTACACAACCAGTCACCATGGAAAGGAGAAAGCCCTGGAACATGTCCCCTTGACAATCAAATGTGCCAACACAAAGTGATAAGCACCATTTCCTCCCAAAACTCATTGGCCAAAACTATTGACAAGTCTCACCTCAACGAGAGGGAGCTAGAAAACTGCCAGACCAGATACGTTTGGCAAAGGCACTGATGGGTACTCCACCCTCTCTGAGTCTTTCTCCCTACTGGCTGGACAGGGCCAGCCCTTCATGTTTCTGTTAGCGGTGATCATCACCCCACTGCATTGGCATTCTCCTTGCTTGTGTTTTCATCTCCTCCTTGAGACTAAGAGTTTTTTAAGGACTGGAGTAGATCACAGTAAATGTTTACTATAAGCATGCACTTGAGAACAGTAAGCATAGGTCCACAGGGAAGGCCAGAGTCCTTCCATGGTTTGCAGGGCTCTCCATGATCTGGACCTACCGCTTCTCTGTGACCTCACCTGGCCCGGCCATACTGTCACTGGGACTCTCCAGGTCCATCCTACCTTGGCCTTCACACTAGCAAATCCCCATGGCTGAGCAGCGGGTCCCCTGCCATTTGCCTGGCTTGGTGGCCCGCTTCCCTCATCTTATCAGAGAAGCCTTTCCAGACCTTGTTCTTTAAAATACCACCATAACAACTCCACACACCCAGTTACCTCCTTGGCTCCCTTGTCTTTTCTTTTTTTCCATAGCACTTACCACTTACTGAGTCAACACAAATGAACTTAACATCATCACGTATCAAACATCACATAGTATGCATTGCATAAGTATTTGGGGCATTTATTGATTGATTGATTGATTGATTGTCTGTTCCTCACCCTCCCATCCAGGTGAATGTAGCTTCAGTGAACAAAGGGCTAAGATGCAGCAGGGACTCAATAAGCATCTGTCCAATGAATAAGTGAAAAAGGAACAAATATATCTCCCAAGTCTTCACGTCTCTAGATCAAAATGCTAAATTTCTCCCTCTTGTATGACAATATTTTAAGCCCTTTCAATATATGAGCTACCCAGAAGTGATCAATCATCAGAGTCATACAGAGCAGAATAACCCTTATTTATCTTCATTTGGTATTCAAATTAATAAAGCCCAAGCTTAAATAATAATTTGAGAGCTACAAAATTCACACTATTGACTGACTTGCAGTAAGTTTACTCAGTGACTAAAAACTTACACGTTTTTCTTATCTAAAATTGTAACTTTTCTTGTCTCTAGAATCTTGTCTCTGTTATTTTGGACAACATTTTTCTCTCTTGATATACTTGTCACTCATCTTCCTTTTCATTTTTAACATCATTTATCCTTACTGTGCACAATCTACATTAAGCACTATGGGGTATTATGTGATAATTGTATAATTCCCATAAGAAAAACGTGGGTCCAATAAATGAACTTTAGTTCAGCAGGAGAGATAACAAGCCCCCTTCTCGGAGTAAACGGCTGATGGCAGAGCTATCAATAACAGAGCAGAAGTGACACTCCAGGGGTACCATGGCTGGGGCCATTGAAGATGAGAAGGCAAGCGGAACCCCAGATGAGAGGGACTTAGGAAGACCTTACTTACAGTTGTACGGTCAGTTGGCTTTAGACACATCACCCCACACATCTTCAAGATAGATTTACCTCCTCAGGATGTGCCCAGTGGATCACCACCTCCCACAACGCTGGGGACCTTTGCCAATCTTTGATCACAGACATGCTAAGGATTAAGCTTACCTGATGTCCACTGATGAATAAGACATTTCATGTGTTCCAACAATTTCAGGGTGGTCCTTAAATAGAAGAAGAGCCAGAATAATTATTGCAAACCATATTTATCTATTTTAGTTAATGACAGTTACCGGGCAAGTATTGTACATAAAAATGCAATCAGCACTGCATCCTTTAAGGTAGACACTGTCGTTATCTGCACTTTATACATAGGGAAATGAAGAAGCAGCGAGGTTAGCGAGCTTCCACAGCTGCACAGTGGAGGGCCAGTGGTTTGAGCCTGAGCAGTCTGACCTGGAGTCCATGGTCTCAGCAATTCTAGCCTGCTCTGCTTTCTCTCAGGTGGAAACAGGGACAGCCTGCGGTCCGGTGCATCACATAAGGGCTGAGTAACAAACGTGCTTTTATGCTACTCACCTAGACAGTGTGTAACTCCCAATGAAATCAACCCGTGGACATTGCCCAGAGCTGAAATTGAAGAGAACGGCGAATAACTCGGGTTAATAGAGAGGGATTAAATGAACTGGAGAATGATTCGACCTTTTGGCCGCTGAGCACTTATTCATTAATTCATCTGTTTATTCATCCTTTCATATATGTGCCCCTCCGTTCAAAATCTATGTACTGAGCACTTTCGCTGTCCTGGACACACAGCCACATGCTGCAGATAAGACCCCAGAGTGGACCTAGCAGGCCAGGTGGGGAAAAGCAGGTGACAGAAGCTGCTGGTGAAGCACGGCAGGACCTTAAAGAAGGGGGATCGTGGGAACTTAACTCTCCCTGCATTTGGGAGCACAGACAAGGGAACGGGACAGAAAAGATGAGAGTAGGATGGGCACAATGCTTCATGGAGGAAGGCACAATGGATCAGCCCAAACAAAATTTTCTAATCTTAGTGTTTCTGGGAAGAGTTGAAAATTTACACAATTTCCATCAGCGACAGGAGAAAACTGAGCACTCTTTTCAAGAAGGGCTCCAGGAACGTCGTTGAGAGCCCAGGTTTAGGGGCCCGTCAGGCCTGCATTCAAATCTTCACCTCCCCAGGCAGAAATTGCCCCACTGAAAGCTGAGCACGATCATAACACACCATTACAGGACTGCACTGAGGCCGGGTAAGGTTGTATGTGAGGTGTGCAGCACGGTCTGCTATCAGCCGCCACTTCTTACCTTCTCCTCAGATTCGTAGTCATTCTTACTTGTTCCCTAAATTGTTAATTTTCTTGGTACTCTGACCTTGCCTTAAAGACCAACGTTTGTAGGTTTGTTTTCTCTTTTACATGAGGAATGAAAAGGGAATATAATTTTTGTTAAACTGATTTTTATTACCGTGAATTTATCGTGCTCCATGATTCTTGGTGACTAGGTAACCAACAGGCAAGCTAATTTATTATTTTAGCAATTTCACCAAGACCTCAGAAGAAAGGCACCTGTGATCCAGAGCACTGGAACTGTGCTAATGAGAAGATTAAAAGAAAGTTCAGCTCACAGAGACCCAGATAATCACAAATGTACCCAAGGATAATTAACAGTCACAATTACCTGGAACGATATTATGTGCCTGGTTGGTTGTTTTAAAGTCAGCCTGTATTGAATACATGAGCTTAAAGGAGGGAATGAATAAGGGCCGGGGATTTAGCTCAGCGCAAGCACAAGGACCCGAGTTCAATCCCCAGTACAAAAAAAAAAAAAAAAGGAGGGAATGAATAAGTTATTTGGAAGTGGTTGGTGAGGCACCTTCATAATAAATATCTAGAAAGATATGAGAGGACACCCAAGGCGCCACAGTCCCATCACCGTAATTGTCATCTAGGAACTGTGTGCCTTCCATGAAGTCCCCCTTCAAGTGCTTCTCCCTTATGCAGAAGCATTGCCCACTGCCAGGGGTCCAGTCCTCCAGGGAACAGAGTTCTGAGCCTTCTGACTCTGACAGTTACTGTCCTTTCCGCACCACCTTGAGGATCTCTGTAGGGTGGTGCCATGGTGCCCAGGCGCATGTCTCAGCTTGTCTGTTCTCTTCATTTCTTTGCAGGCTCATTCCACTCCGTGCTGCATACTGCAAGCTGCCCCAGAACTGAGCCGAAGCAGACAGGACAGGATGGGGACAGACGGGGAAACGGTAGTCCTAAAGAACGTGCTCATTGGCGTCAACCTGATCCTGCTGGGCTCCATGCTTAAGCCCTCAGAGTGTCAGCTGGAGGTGACCACAGAAAGGGTCCAGAGACAAGCAGTGGAGGAGGAAGGAGGCATTGGCAACTACAGCACATCCAGCAAAGAGCAACCTGTGGTCTTCAACCATGTGTACAACATTAACGTGCCCCTGGACAGCCTCTGCTCCTCGGGGCTGGAGGCCTCTGCTGAGCAGGAGGTGAGTGCGGAAGATGAGGGTCTGGCAGAGTACACGGGCCAAACCTCAGACCAGGAGAGCCAGGTCACCTTCACCCACAAGATCAACCTCCCCAAAAAGGCCTGCCCATGTGCCAGCTCAAGCCATGTGTTACGGGAGCTGCTGAGCCGGATCGAGATGCTGGAGAGGGAGGTGTCAGTGCTGCGGGACCAGTGCACCAGCAACTGCTGCCAGGAAGGCGCCGCCACAGGTAGGGTGTGAAGGGCTGGCGGAGGGGAAGGAGAGGTGGGAATGAATGAAGGCGCAGGGGAAAACCCTCAGCATCTCTTTCCTTGGCCCAAGCAAGAAAGTGTCCCTGCTTGTAGCTCTCAGTTAATGTGTCTGTGAGATCTAAATGCAGTTCTTCCCCAGAGATTCAGTTCAGGGATCCTCCACACTGCTTAGCCAGTTTGAAACACATTAACCTGATTTGGGGAGGATGAGTCAGGTAATGGTACATCAGTTCAGCACAGCGACTTGGCTGGCAAGCAGGGAATTTGATGTCTGTCTTCATTCATCTTTGGCTTTCACAGGCTGTTGGATTGATATCTATTCATGTTAACCTGAGGGACTAGGGAATGCAGGTGCTCTGCTCATTCAGTCGCAGCCTTCTCCCATGTGAGTGAATGATAGTCATTAAAGTCTCAGAGGATCTGTGCCTGTCTTCTCTAGCAAGACGGGAGTTTTAGCCCCTGTCCCGTCATAAGCGCGCGCGCACACACACAAACACACACACACACACTCACACTAGATGCAGCACACCTATGCTTGCACACACACTCACAGAGCAAATCCCACTCCCAAAAGGCTGAAAGAGGTTTTCCTTCTAGCCTTGCCCACCTCCTAAACAGTAACATGCATGAGTTCTTAGCTGTATCTCTCTGAAATGTAAGCAAGTCTCCAGAGACTCCCTGAGTGCAAACCTTAGCTCTGCTACATCTATGCTTATGGCCAAAGAAAGCTGCATAGCTTTTTCCTCCTCTATAAGCAGTGACAGACTACAGTGACCTGGGTTTGTTCACTGTACAAGGTTTCTCTAGGCATCATAAAAACAATAGCTGCTATCAGCAGAACCCCAGTCAACATCCAGCCCAGTTTTTCTTATCCAAAACAGAGAAGCTCTTTGATGGGAAGGGGCATCAGTCATATTCTCTTGGGTGTAAGTATTCACTCATGTAGGATCCAGTATCTCAGGTATTTCTCGGGTTATAAGAAAGGTGACGTTTTAACAGCCTCGATAGCCCACAGTTCCTGAGGATAGCAGGCACGTTCTCCTGAGTCACAGCAAGAGGAAGATCAGTCTTTGAATAGGGAAGTGTTTCCCTGGTTTTTCTCACTTCTGCTCCTGACAGCCAACACCATAAACAGCCAGTGTAAGACTAAAGGGGGAAGTGCAGTTTTCAGTTTTTTTTTTTTTTTTATTGAGTTTATTGGTACATTTAGGGATACAGTACAGTTACATTCATTGTTGGGATCATGTACCTTTACATGGCAAGTCTTGATTCTCATTTTTTTTCCCCTTACCTCTGCCCTCCCTTCACCCCCTCCTCCCCTCCCCATCTACAAACACTTTATTTTCATCTTTTCATTCTCTCACATTTTTTTCTTTTCCCTTTTTGTTCTTCCCTATGTTCAGTTTTCCGTTCATTAGTAAGAACTGACAGGTCAGTTCATCTTTTTTTTTTTTTTAACCAAGGATCAAACTCAGGACTGCTGAGCTACATCCCCAGCTCACAGTTCACCTTTTCAATGGAGCTAGAGGACAAAGTCATAGACATGGTCACTTTGCTACTCAAGAAGTCAGGGTGGCTTTTTTGTTTTGTTTTTTTTGTTTTTTGTTTTTTTGGTTTTTTTAACTGAGACAGAGTCTTGCCAAGTTTTTCACTAAGTTGTCAATACTGGGCTTGAACTTGTGATCTTCCTGCCCCCGGCTTCCAGAGTACTGGGATTAGAGGCATGTGCTATCATGCCCAGATCCAGAGTGACTTCCATCAAAGGACTTTTGACCAGCATTCCACCAGGATGCCTGGCAGATTGTAAAAAATCTAGAAGGAAGAGCTATGTTAGGCAACAGCCATGAAGTATATTTTCAGGCCACTGGGGCTGCCAGAAGTGGCAAGGTGGGCTTACTAGATTTCAGATTCTCAGGGCCAAGGACTGAGAAGGAAGCCAAGCAGGTACTGAGCCTGAATTTTTTGTTTTTTGGGGAGGGCAGTTTTTTGGGGTTTCTGAGATCAAACTCAGAACCTTGCACTTTCGAGGCGGGCACGGTGCCACTGATCTAAATATCTGGAAAGTTTGAGTTTTTTTAAGTTTATTGAAACAGATAAATTAACCACTGTAGCTGTACCATAATAAGGACTTGGACAGAAACATACATAGACTCTTGAAGGGACCCAGCAAACAGTAATGGGCTGAGCCGGAGGTTCCAGGAAGCCTTGAAGTATCCAAGGCGCACTGGCTTTTGATGAATCAGCCGTGAGTGATGGCAGTGGGGAAGCCGAAGGACTGTTGTAACCCAGGTGTCCATGCACTGCATAACGGACCCTAGCTCATTCCCATCCCTCCTACGGCCTTCTGTTCCCAGAACTGACATCTCAGTCAGAGTCCTTGCCCCAGTCTGTTGGACCCCCACAGCCTGCCAAGTAGAGAACAGGGGGCTTGGAATTGAATCACCCTGGAACAGCCCTCGACCCACAGTGACAAGTGACCTGCACTGTGCCCAGAGCACCCGCACGACTGAGCCCAAGTTCCTCTCCCTGGGCCTTTGTTCCATAATGTAGCCTGACTTGGGTGCCTTTCTTCTCCACCTCTGTCTTCCCTACCAGTTTTCCCTGCAAACATTTTTGAGTAAGTCGCTTTTACATGACTCTTCATCTAAAGTCCACTTCCAGGAAACCCAAGCTAAGAGGTTGAGCTCCTAGAAACAAGGGGCAAGGTTTCCTTCATCGTTGCCCCTAGCACTGTGCTAAGTAAGCACAGGCAACCACATTAGGCGGAAATATTGGTTAGTTTATACATACCAGACATGTTGAGCGTCACTCTCAGCAACTCCCATCTGATCAGAGAATGCGTAGAGATCCCTACCCTCGCCTCCCTGGCACCATTTATAGGAGAAGCCACTGCTGCCCTCTGACATCCCCCTTGACCATTCCAGGACAACTGGACTATGTCCCTCACTGCAGTGGCCATGGCAACTTCAGCCTCGAGTCCTGTGGCTGCATCTGCAACGAAGGCTGGTTCGGCAAGAACTGCTCAGAGCCCTACTGCCCGCTGGGCTGCTCCAGCCGGGGCGTGTGCATGGACGGTCAGTGCATCTGCGACAGCGAATACAGCGGGGACGACTGCTCTGAGCTCCGGTGCCCAACGGACTGCAGCTCCCGGGGGCTCTGTGTGGATGGGGAGTGTGTCTGTGAAGAACCCTACACGGGCGAGGACTGCAGGGAGCTGAGGTGCCCAGGGGACTGCTCGGGGAAGGGGAGATGTACCAACGGCACCTGTTTATGCCAGGAAGGCTACGTTGGTGAGGACTGCGGGCAGCAGCGGTGCCTGAATGCCTGCAGCGGGCGAGGACCCTGCCAGGAGGGGCTCTGTGTCTGTGAAGAGGGCTACCAGGGCCCTGACTGCTCAGCAGGTAGGAAGGGGAGCACTGGGTGCCGGTAATAACAATGACAACACCCTACTGTCCGTGAGGGGGTGAAAGTGGCCATTATCTATTATTTCTTTTGCAAAAACACAAAACTACAGGCTGGGTGAATTTTAAAGAAAGGACGTTTATCGTGGCTCACAGTTCTGGAAGTCCAGAGTTTAGGGCCACATCTGGTGGTGGCTTTCTAGTGGCAGAGTCCCAGGGGAGTACATGGCAAAAGACCAGGGACTTGTGTCTGTCTCTCTTCTGATCTTCTTATAAAGCCACCAGGATTCAGTCATGGGGACTACACTCTGATGACCTTATCTAACCCTGATCACTTTCCCTGGACCCCCACCTCTAAACACCACAGCAGATTCATTTCCACTATCTTAATAATTCATAATGGGAATTAAATTTCACCTCTGAAGCCACCAGGGGCCCCACTAAACCACACCTGAGCTATAGCAGCCAGAGGGTGAGATCATGGGGTCACCTTGCCAAGGCTGTTCCCAAGCTCACAGGAATTCCAAAGAGTTGCACCCCTCAAAATGTCTCTTTCACCTGACTCCATGCTCCAGGAACACTTTCTTTACAATGCCGCTTAAAGGATGATGGTTAGGCCATGATGCACTCTGAGTATCTTGGAGTTTACACATTTCAAGATCTTATTAATTTACAAAATGATCTTGTGTCCACATGGAGAAAAGTGTGTGTAGGCAAGAAATTAAATGTAAACATTGATGAATATTAAAGGAATCCATATTCGAGGGTGACCTCTTTGATTTCTAATATCTATTTCAGTTTTCAATATCAAGTGTTAGATATTTCAATCTGCAGTTTCTACCAGAGGGACCTGGTATATTATTAACAGTTCTCACCTACATCCTTTTTTTTTTTTTTTTTTTTTTTTTTTTAACAGGGGTCAAACCCTAAGGTTGAACAAAACACCTAAGGCCTTTTAAAAAAAAAAAAAAAAAATTACTACTATGTAGTAATGCAGATGCAACAGCAATAAATGTAAACAGGAACAAAACACTGAAAACAATAACTAACATTCTAACAAGCACAGGATATTGAGAGGCTATGATTCATTTTGTTCCAGGTGACTATAGCACAAACAGGAACCAAACCCATATACATACGACCACAATATGGAAACCGACAGGAAGGGCGTGCTGAGGGGGAGCTCTAGCGCTGGCTGCAAGAAGGATACCAGTAATCACAACGGGATGTTTTGCACTCACATCCGGTTATTTTCATTATTTCACTATTTTTTAATCTTCTCTGGGTGAATCAGTGACAATTGCTGATAAATTTGTGCTTTGAACAGTTCAGATTAAGTAATTGATCATTCTATTTAAAGATTGGAGCACCCACTGGGAAATTCTAAAAGAAGAAATAGCAACAAACAAACACTTTAAAATCTTCTAACTGAACAATTCTAGGAATTTTTCTAAGGGAGAACCCCAACCCGAGGAAGCCAGTGTCATCAGCAATTCGCATCGAACGGCAACGAATGACTTCAACTTAAATTCTTCTAAGACCAGTCACAATTAGGAAATGGGGGGGGGACAATAATCCACTCATTAGGAAGTGTTTTTTTTTTCATTCTTCCTATACTATATTTTCTATATTCAGGCATTTCCTTTAGCCTCTTGGTTTTGTTCACTGAATAGACATGTCTTTCTAAAACGGCAGTTATTTCACCAAATTGTTCCAAAGCAAGGTTCATGCAGAAGTTAAGCCTCGGTGTTTCCGAACTCAAAGTCACCAGGCACTTACTGAAGGCGGAAGCGTAACCTAGTTCCTACATAGTGGGTGAGGCCCCATGAGGCCCATTTGGAGAATGCTAAGGTTCAGTGTAGGCCGTCATTGTGTTAGTTCTATATTTCCTTAGAGACCTGCACATACCTGTCCTGTACTTGACCTGCTTTTCTGCGGGGAAGGATCCACTTGCAAACAAATTCTTGATCTAAGCTAGAGCTCAACCTGAACTAGAGACAAACCTGGTCCCGTCACGAAAGAATGAGCAGCTGTTTTAGAGTAACTACAGCTGGGTTGAGTCCAAACTATGAGCGCGTTACCTCCAATACATTACCTCTGCTGCTGGAGGAAGGATTTGTAGGCCCTGATAAATTACATTAGAGGTTCCCAGGGCATGTGAGGAAGGACAGTTGCATAATCTCCATCAGTTTCTATAGCAACCCTGGAGCCACCTCTCATTGTAGGAGGAACTGCTCTTCATGCCTGCCTTTCAAACCAAATGCCACAGGTCTCTTCCTGAGAAGTATCTAGGTCATTAGCTGAAGTGCTCCTCTGCTTGCTCTTTGTGCAAAGGCTGTAGGAGAGGGGCTGATTCACCCACCGTTTGACCTTTCTGCCGAGGTGCACACAGGACGGCACTGCTCCTCCCACTGCTTCCAGGAGTGCAGAGAGGAGAGAGAAGGTCTAGGAGGGAGAAAACACGCAGAGCACAGAGTGAACTTCCTTGGAGTTCATCATTATCTCTTAGGCAAGGACATGGAAAATAGCTGCCCATTGTGTAGATTTCATTCTGAAGCTCCCTAGGTCCCCAGGACTTGAATGCAATGTAAGAGTGACAGCAAGGCCACTATCTGACTCCTACCCTTGGTCTTTGTTCACTGTGTGTCATGGAACAAGATCTCAAGCTTTCTGCCACCATCCTCTTCTCGTGTAAAGATAATAGAACAAAAAATCATGAATATGGGCCCTTAAAACAGGCCTTAGAAAAAAACTACTCCAAGCTTCTCATTTCACAGATTTAAAAAGCAGCAATTCAGAGAGAAGAAAGATTTTTCCCTGAGCCAGACAGCTCATTAATGGCAGAGTAAGAATGAGAACCCTGGTCTCCTACCAGCTCCTTGCTGTTTTAAATCCTCTCTGAGATGCTAAGTAGAACAGAATTGAGGGATAAAAATATTAAAGCTACGTACACAAAGTAATCTGTTGATGTGAAAGCTGAGCCCTATCAAATGATAAAAATTAGGTGTTAAAGATGCGGTGAAGAAGCACGCAGAACCATTTGTCTGCATCTATTCCCGGTGGTGCAGCTGAGGGGCAGGTGGCCAGTGAGCTGACCACAACTCCCTGTGAGTAAGCAGAGTGAAGGACCACCAGGGCAGGGACTTGAAACCATCCAGAAAGCCCTGCCCTGGACGTCAGTCAGACCTGCAGAGACTCAGCATCATAGTCTCTATCTCTGTTAGGATAGCAGCTGGCCCAAGCTTTGGCACCTGAAGCCACTTTCTCTTTGAAACAATACATACTGTGGAACCAATTTCAAATGCTCTCATCCTCTAAGTGAAAAAGTGATGGAAAAATCTAAAACATAAATGGTTTGGCTACTTCACAGATAAGCAACCCTGATTCTTCAAGTTTCTTCTTTTTTAGCAGCCTACTCTTTGATCTTCCCAAAGTCAAAGTTGGATCTTCATAGAAAGTTAAGACTGAGAATGCTTTGCACCACCATAGATGCCATCATTATGGCATAAGCCTCTGTTATAGTTTGCTTTACAGTTAAACATCATTTTATTTGAATGGGATTACTAATACCCAATGTGAGCAGCTACTGTTGATTTATGAGGCAAGTGATGATGGTCTCCTCCACTGAGCCACCTCTCCTGAGAGTGCTTCTACCATCAGTGACACCTGGTGTTCCTCTGGGTCAGAAGTTAAGGCAGTGTTCACCACCAGAATCAGGTCTCCACCAAACTGACAAGATAAAAACTTCTGCATTTTATTTTTGCTTTAAAATTCTAAAATGTTCTGCTTAATCCACCCTCTGCAGTCATTATTAACTTTATTTTCTGGAAGAAAAAAACAAAAAGGAATACCCTGACTTGTCCCCCTTGCCCTAAGAGTTGCTGATGACTTGAAATGACCATTTCTGTCATCATGACTGGAACAGTCCTGCGAAAGAAACTCTGAGTCAGGGTGTTTGATTACAAGAAGCAGGTACTAGAAAAAAAAATGTCTTGAAGCATCGTCTTATCTCTAAGATGAGCACCAGTCTGGAGACAACATCTTGTGTGATCATCCAAATGATTCTAATGCATGCATGTGGAGGGACTGTGTAGAAATGAGGGCAGCCATCGAGTGCAATCTGTAACCTGCTCTATAAATTGTAGGAGGAAGAACTCAATATGGAGAACATCTGGGTGTGAGAATCTATGCTGCTACAGCCCAGCTCCCTGACTTTTGACCCATCCTCAACTGAGCTTTAGTTTCTCTTTTGTAAAGCTGACATGATCAATTACATCTACCCAAACGGCCTCGTAGGGCTGCTATTAGAGGATTTCTTTAAATTGTTGTTTGGCATATAGGTAGATGGTCTACCTGGAAAAGTATACTTAGATGATAAAGACTGAAATGTTATATACATGAAAGCTGGAACTGTATATTGGCTAAGAGATTTTAGAGTCATTCTGCCTGGGTTAAAACCCTACTCTCTGAATTTGTGTACCATGTGACCCTGTTTCTTCACAGATAAAATATTAGTCATAATAAAAATTACTATCCCATTACGTTGGTAAGAGGCTGAAACACGATGATCTTCACTAAAGCAACTAGCATTGGGTCTGGTACGTAACAAAAGTTCAGCATAATCATGCCAAATACTGTTTGTACTATGTACCCATCCTTCCTTGGATCTAGGAGTCACTCCATACGTATTATACAGGCAGACCTCAAGGTCTTAGAGCAGTTCACAGCTTTAATAATGTCAGAATTATAAATGATGCAAGCTTATAAAAAACACTGGAGGGCCTAATTATTTAAATGTCATTTATACTTTTTAGTTTCATAAATTTTTGAAGTAATTTTTTAAGTTTTGTTTAGTTCACATTTGCCATCTTCGATCAGAATAAATTCTTCTTTCTCATGTGTTTTTATACAATGAATGGTTATGAGCAAAAGCAGTCAGAGCAAATGTCCTATGTGGCAAATATATTCTGTTAATTTCTCTCCTTCAAGTCTGGGATCAGTTAGAGGGCTTCTCATTTCTGCCTTTGCAGAGGATTTGAGGTTTCACTTGTGAGCGCCAAGAGCCAGGTGCTCTCCAGTCACACTGTCCTGTGAAAAGCAGCTGGCCTGGGCGCACTCACTTGGAAAAGTGAAAGGGTAGAGATATTCTAACCCAACAACAACTCTTTCACCAACCAAAGCCTCTACTACTCCTGTAAATGTATAAATTAATTTTGAACCATTTAAATATTGGCTTGATCTTTGACTTAATCCATGAGCAGATCCAATTACAGACACACCGGTTAGCCTCCTAATTAGTCTTAAAGGTTCAATTATTTGATGCCCACACGGTGATGAAGGTTCACTTCTCAAGGGAATCATGCATGCAAGGCTGTTTCAGTGTGGTTTAACCTTGGATAACTCTGAGTAGCATTCGAGAAATCAGACAAGAATGAAATCAAAGCTCTCACAAATGCTTCTTGGTCATCATCTCCAAGGTCAAGGCTAATGAAAATTAGTTTGACACAAGTTACATTTCTTTTAAAACTTAAAGTAGCCTTCTTTTGAAAGGGAAAACACTAAATGCTTTAATCAGGCCTCAGTATATAGGATTTACTGTTTCAGCTCCTTATAATTTGCAATATAACCAGCAACGAGTATTTCTACTTGTCAAATCAGAAATTGGCTCTCCGGGCAATCTGATGACAGTAGCATATTAATCACCAAAACTTTTGGCAAATAGTGTGCTAGAAAATATCTAACAACTGGCTCATGAAAGGAAAAAAGAAGTAAAGCCTTGATTTGTAGCATTTAATAGTTTCCATGGTATAAATACTTTCTCTGTGACCAATTTCAAACCTCCAACATGACATCACCAAATATGGAGATACTGAGACGCACAACACACAAAAGTCACTTTCAGAATAGAGACGATGGTAAAATGTATTTAAATGATTTAAATGTGTCTTGAGCATTTATTACCTTTTGTTTTAATAGAAGTTACTTAACTGTAAGTTTATATAATTTCCTCTTTAAATATCATGATCTAACAACAGTCTTGCCAAATTCCTGAAAATGTGACAGTCAGTTTTTACAAGCCAGTAACAGCACAACACTAATGTGTAGCCTACGGAGACTGGGATATAAGGACAGGAAGTACAAGAACTTACTGCAAATCACTGAATCACTTGAGCCCAGCAGAGCATATAGACGTGGCATGGGGGGAGAGACATCCGGGGTGGAAAGGCAATCCTCTGAGCTCATGCTGTCTGTGTATTGCCTCCCGGTAGTTGCCCCTCCAGAGGACTTGCGAGTGGCTGGTATCAGCGACAGGTCCATTGAGCTGGAATGGGACGGGCCGATGGCAGTGACGGAATATGTGATCTCTTACCAGCCGATGGCCCTGGGGGGCCTCCAGCTCCAGCAGCGGGTGCCTGGAGATTGGAGTGGTGTCACCATCACGGAGCTGGAGCCAGGTCTCACCTACAACATCAGCGTCTACGCTGTCATTAGCAACATCCTCAGCCTTCCCATCACTGCCAAGGTGGCCACTCGTACGTACCATTCCCCCATCCTGCCTCATTTTTCTTTTCTCCCCCATGAGACCATGGGCATTCATGATAGCAGTGTCTTTTCTCAGTTCTTTGGGGATTCCTACAATGGTCTGATCTCAAGGGAAGAGAACTCAAACGTGACCCACTTAGGAAAAGGAAAAGGTGTGGCACTTAAAGCCACTCCTGATTACATTTCCAAATTATAGAACCAAAAGAACAAAAAGTACTTTAATTATTGGATACTGACGATATAAGCTAGACTCTTATTTGAAGTCAAAGAAAGTATGAGATTTATACTGACTTTGAATGTAGTCAGGGATTCACAACCAGGAGATATGTAATAGGATGTATAATAATCAAGCACTAAATGCTACCTTACAGATGGTAAGTGTATAGCAGAGTGAGGAAAAAATCTAGTTTAAAACCACAGCTGACAACATCCACTTCTGATAGAGAGGTGATATAATTCTTTATACTCTTTTGTGTACTAAAATATCTTGATGATCCATATGAGTTATAAAAGTTGAAGTTCTAGAACATAACTGAGAAAGATTCACTGGAAGAGAGGAAAGAGAAACCCAGGACAAGCTAAACTGATCTCCATAAGGATAAGGAATGGACAGTTTTTAATTACACCAGAGAAATACTCCTGTATTTATATAAGCTTTGATATAAGCTTGGAAAAATAGAAAAGATGACTTACAAATTATTAACATTCAATAGGAGAGAGGGAACCACTATTTTATATGTA